TGGAGACTTAGATATATGTCCTTGTTGAACAAATATTCATTTTGAAAGGTTAGAAATTACACATTTTTTTTACCAGTAATGTTAAGGCAACCTTTTTGTAAAGCCCAGAAATTTAAAGTCCCTCTTAACTAGCTAATATATTAGCGGAAAACAAGTTTATTGGGTTTGGGAGTCACACTGAGATTTGAAGTCAGGGCTTCACCCTTGCTAGGCAGGCACTATACTCCCCCCGCACCCCCAGCCCTATTTTTTGTTGTTTTTGAGCTAGTGGGTCTGACTTCCTGCTCAAACATGTGCCTGTAACACAATCTACCTATTTTTGGCTTCCCATCATAGCTGGTATGACAGGTATGCACCAACAAGTCCAACTTCCCTCTGTTGAGATGAAATCTCAACTTTTCTCCCCAAGCTGGCCTGGAACCACTATCTTCCTAATCTCAGTTTCCCACATTGCTTAAGATGACAGGCATGTGCTACTTAGGATGACTGTCCTGTGTTACTACAGTGCCCAAATATGGATTGAAAAGAGAGTCTCAAACTTTTCTGCCCAAGATAGCCTTGATCTCAGCCTTCTGATTAGGTGTACAGCTGTGAACCTGGTGCCCAGCTGAGAAGTCTAAATTTTTCTATATTAATACTTTATGTATTACTATTTTGTTTTGTGTATGTGCATGCACACATATACACAGATCCACTTTCAGGTTTTTTTGGTGGTTAATTGGAGATAAGAGTGTCATATCATGGACTTTGCTGCCTGGGTTGGTTGCAAACCATGATCCCCAGATCTTAGCCTCTTGAGTGGTTAGGATTACAGGCATGAGCCACTGGCGCCTGGCTGCATATCTATTTTGATACTTTAAAAAGATGCTGTGTTTATTTTGCTTTTACCAGCACTTATGCTATCTCAGGGGAATTTAAAATATGCACAGTTGTTAATCTATTAGTTGATGAGGACACTCAAGAGATATTTTTGTTTTTCTTAACATCTTCCATATGTTGGAATTACTCTTTATTTTTATTTATTTACTTACATATTTGGTCATAGTTTAACAGCAAAATTGTGCAAAAAGAGAATTCTCATTTACTTCCAACCATACACATACATATATCTCCTACCATTTATATAACACACCAATATGATCCATGCTTTATAATTGATGAATATATGATGAGAATCATTATCATCCAAAGTCCATGTTTAAACAAGGTTTCACTCTATTACTAGTTTACATTAGTTATGCAGTAGAGTAGTTCATTGTTACATTTTCACATAGAATTGCTTTATAATGTATTCATCAGCAGTATGCTGCCAATAAAACACCCCAGAAAGACAAATTCTGAAAATAAATATGTTGAGGAGTATGTGTCTTAACCTTGTTTAATTATGAGAAAAACATACTTTTCAGTTGTCATAAATTCTTCTTGGGTAAATTTGTGGAAGTCACAGTGAGTTTCCTGTGCCCATGGATTTTATCTACATATTTGAAAGCTTTTCATACACTGATATCTTTTTGATGTGTGGTGAGGGCTGCTGTGGTAAACAGCTAGTGTTAACAGGGTTAAAAAGTTTGGTAGAGTTAATGACAGCCTGATTTTTCCTTCTAGTACTATTTTCTGAATGCCCCTACCTCCCTACCATTTGGGCTGGCATACAGTTCCATTCAGGTGCATCCAGTACTGATGACCTTGTTTTCCAGTCATAATTCCACAGCTCTGAGTATATCTTTTAGCTAGTCATTCTCCACTTATTCCACCTACTGGATCAGTAATGTGATGTGTCTCACTTGAGCACCAATAGACTGCATGCTTCATGAGAAGGATAGGATACAAGTGTGATGTGATGTGAGTTCCACTGTGCCATCTTCCCAGAGGACAAGCACTCTAGCAACCTCGGTGTGTCTTTCCATGTCATTATTGATTAATGGGTTAAGTGGACAGTTTGAGCAGCAAAACAAAACTCCACCACCTCTCAGGATTTCCTGATGCAGACTCTCACATTTTGTGCTTCCATTTAGTCCTTGTTCTATCTCAGATTCACAGCAGTGCACATTTGGCAGCCTTCATTTCTTTGTGTGCATATCATAAACTTCTATATGTATATGATAAACTTTAGGTCTAATACCATATCTTCAATCTGCCAGAAGTTCTGAGGAGAAGGAGTACAAAATAGTACTTTCTGTTTCTTGTTGCCCCATAGCTGCTTTTTGGTCTTTTGCTTAACTTGAACATGGGCAATACAAGGGAGTTTAAATAAGTCTAAACCTACTGGATAGCCTTGGAATATTTATTCAAATAAACAACCTATTCTTCTGAAATACTACCCCTACTTTATATATGAGAAATCTAACTCAATCTAGATACCTCTAAAATATCACATACTCGAGTAACTTACAAAAACAGTACACATGGGTCACCTCAAAAGCCCTGCTATACTTTCATGTCAATAACTATGAACTAAGATTTAAATCCAAGTAGTGCAAACCCCAAACCCACATTTTTTTTGTTTCCTTGTGTTATAAGAAGGGTCTTCTTTAATTAAAAAAGAATCCCCTAGTGGGTGAGAGTCATATATGTGGTTAATAATTCAGAGGGAAGCTCGGTTTAGTGATGCATACCTGTAATCCCAGCAAGTGGGAAGCTGAGGCAAGAGGATCACAGAAAGAATTTTAGGCTAGCCTGGGATACATAGGGAGACCTTGTTTTAAAACAACAGCAACAAACTATTGAAGGGGGACAAATATCACATCGGAGTTTTTTTCCTTCCCTTTTCCCTCAGCTCTGAAGTTCCCCCAGTCTGAAAGCATTACTCACATGTTTTCCCAGAGATATTTTGTGTCTATGTAAGTAAACACATTTCACCTTTTTACACAGAAGCATGCTATACATAGTTTTGAACCTTGCTAATGCAATAGGTATACTCTCAACTTTATAGGAACACACTGAGGACTTTGCCTCCTTTTAATTGTTACTTTTTCATTGAATGCCTGTCATTTCTTGGATATTAAAGTTAAAACCAACATTTTGCTATAAGGAGTGTTGCAAGGAATAATAACGTGTATAGATGAATATTTACTGTATTGATGTTCCTATTAATAGATGAATTGCTGCTTTAAAGGCATGTGCATGTACATTTCAGTTGGATCCTCAAATTAACTCCCAGTAGAGCTTCCAATTTATATTCCTACTATTAATATATTGGGAGTGCCTATATCCCCACAATCTGAAGAAAACAAATACGTTATACTTTTATATCCTCCATCTGCTAGGTGAAAATATATAATTTTATCGTACTTTTTAAAAATAAACTTAATTTTTAGAACAGCTCTAACGTTACATAGAAGTTGTATACTACAGTATTGATTCTTCCCACTCACTTGCCCTTAAAGGCATGACCCACCCTCCTAGTCTTATACCTTACCTTTTAGGGGAGAGGAGTTTATGCCTCTTGCACTCTTTGTACTTTCTTTCTCAAGGCTGATACTCTACCACTTGAACCACACCTACAGCCAAATTTTTTTCTTTTTTATTGTGAAAATACTGTACAGAGGACTTACAATTACATGGGCAAGATAATGAGTACATTTCTTATCAAGCATTGTAGCCTCCTCCTTTGTTTCCCCTTCCCATCCCTTCCCAGCCTCCCCCCGCCTCCCACCCAAGCCTCCCCCCCACACACCAAAGTTTAAAGTTCGTTTTCGACATAACAACTTGTACATCTCATTGTTGCAATGGGTC